AGAAAGAGAGAAGAACAAAGACTTTTCTGAACCTCAAATACTCATATCAGTAAACAATGTAAGGAGGCTGTGAAGAGTCAGTGAAGAGTCAGGTGAGCACCAGGCATGCCAAAAAGAAGACTGTCCAGCTCATGCTTTCAATTTTCCTACTTCACAAAAAAAAAAAAAAAAAAAAAGTTCTGAAAGTTTCATTTTACTGTAAGTGAAGGAAAATAAAAAGTAAATAGTAGTTTCTGCTCAGTTTACACTTTTCTTCCCCACTCTCTTTTCCAAGCTCTCTTGGCTTGAATAGCAACACCCTAAATAAGAAATTATACTGTGATTTCATCCTAAGCTTCACTTTATGGACTTAACAGGTCTCTTGGATCTTGCACTTGGAGCCATTAAAATTTCTCTGCAAGCTAAGAAGCCCAGTATTTGGTAGAGGCTTTGGTTGAAAGAGGGGGGTGGGGGTGGTTTATAGCAGTCTCTCAGACTCTTTCAGTCAACAGCCCAATGACCAAAACGAATCACTTGCACCACAGAGATAAAACTCATCAGTTTGGAAGGATGGCTGCACTGAAGCAAGCATCTTCTAAAGTCCCACTAAAACTCTGATACAGAATATGGCACCACTACCCTACAAAGCCTAAGGAATACAGTCATGTTGGCACTTCAGGCTCCACATCAGGTAAATATTTAGGGAACCTCTATTAAGACATTCTAGGAAGCAGGGTTATGCCAGAACAGCATTCTGGGCCTCCTTTAGCACTTCTCCTCCTCAGGGTAAGTGTCTGCAGAGGAACAGGAGATGTACCGTTGCCTCTGTTAGACTACTACAACTGAAAAAAGCTGGTCAACAGCAAACATTCATAAACACTTGAAAGTCATCACACAGGTGAGTAGATGACTTGAAAGCAGCTCCAGAAAAGTTTCTTTAAATCTGAACCATTCCTGTGTGCACCCTCACAAACGTATCAGCTCAAAAAATTTACTTTGTACAACTACACTCCACATGGCTTTTTTCACCATCATCACCTCTACAAAAAAGTCATTTGCCTTTTCAGAAATAAGACAAAATCACCACATTGCTGACTTGCCAAAACATAGATGAGGGTGAAAATAGAAAGCATCTTTAATCCAACTTATATGAACACACGGACTATGCTATGAATAAATAATGGAGGAACAAAATCACTTCAGAACATGAAGCCCATCAGAAACCCATTCAGTCAGCTTATGTCCATAATTAATTTGGTGCAAAAGAAACAAAGGTATTCAAAGTCTGCATGGGAACTTAGAACTTAAACAGGGAATTTGGCAGAATTCACAAACAGGCATGCCCAAATGCCTAATAAATCCAGGCAGAGAGGCACAGTCCTTTTTTCTCTAAAGAAACGGACTTACTAAGAGAATATTTTGACCACTAAAAGTATCAGTAAAAGAAAAGTTTTGCGATGTGTCCACAATAACATTTCCACAATTATCATAATCACATTATTCTTTTTGTCTTTCTAATTCTACCACTTCTAAAAAAGTGTCACATCTTGTCAAACATGACAACTTCTGGCAAACCTTCTGATGGATCTCTTAGACCATAACTCCTCAATGATTCCTTTAAGGAACACCGTAAATGAGAAAATAGTGCTTAATTTGTGGGGAATTGTTCTTTTTTGGTAACTAAGGCATCACTTCAGGCACTCATGCAAATTTCACTAAACAGAAATACTGTGATAAATCTTAGCAATCTTCTAAAAATTCTACAGATTGAAAAAGTATTTTAAGTATATTGAGGAACTTTATAAAGTATTTCTTTTCTATCTGCTGTCTCATCTAGTATGACTGACATTATACAGTTTTCTTTTAAAATAAACAAAAATAAGCTCATCATGTTACTAGCTACACTTTTTCTATGAGCTGTTAAGAACACCGTATTGAAGCAGCCAGCAGAAGAGGACCTAGAGCAGAACAAAATAATCACATTTTTATAAGGCACTAGCTGAAAAGTAACTGTTGTGAAAAGTAGCTGTTGTGCCAGACAGTACTTATATTTCTGTGTCACAGAACTCATCAATAAAAGAAAGACTGAAAATTCTGATCTGGGACTTGCACTGCCAGACACTCTTCTAAAATCCTGTATCAGTTCCACTTCACAACACCTGCAATAAAACTGTCCTGATGTAGGTAGCACTCGCAGGTTGAATACCTGTGGCATACAAATTATTCCGTTCACACCTGAAGACAAATCCGTGTGACTCATGCAGAGAGGAGTTTCATATGGATCTTTTTTTGTCTTTGATTTAATGTCAGCTACAAAAGACCCTCTCTCCATCCCGAACAACAATAAATTTCAAAGGTATTTTTTCAGAAAAGGAATGCAAGACTCCCAGGTAATTGAGTCCTATTAATTACCATACAGTTATACAAGACGATCTTTTTCATAGAGCAATTATAGAGCCTTTCCCAACTGTAACTCCACCAGGAATTTATGACTGGAAAGGGTAAGACCCTCATAATCATGAACATCTGTCTAACAAACAAAACTGTCAATTCCATTCATCTTCACAAGCTGAGTAGCACCTACCAACAAATTAATATTCTCTAAATCCTTGCCTCTGGAAAAGAGCAAAGCTTTTAAGTGAACCTACAAAACCACTAGTAGACTTACCATTTATCATAAAGCTAACATTTCAGGCCAAATAACATGACTTATTCATGCTAATTTTTACATTGGAGTCTATGAGATTACTTGTATGAGCTACCCTTACTTTGGCCTTCAAATAATCTAATCTAATATTCCACCGAAAACATAAAACTCAAGTGTCGTGGTCAGTTTTAAAGCTAAAGTGCATTTGCCAAGGCAATATGTTACATATTAAGAACTAAAAATTGCTCAAATTTAACAAGAGTTATTCTCTCATGAGCTCCCAAACTTTCTCAATCTGCCAGCACTCTATGGTTACTAATGGAAGACCTGACTAAGAGCACTCACAGCACAAAAACTGTAAACGGAGTAATTAGCTTGAAAATGGGAATGTAGTTCTTTATCTCTCTCCAGCTGGCCCTAATCTGAGCCAATTTCTGTTGATGTATTAGAAACAGAAGTTTAACATTAAATTTGGAAGGCACTGAAGAAAAAAGAATGTGCTAACAAACACCATTTGATCTACAGAATTACCTTAAGACACTAAAGTAATATTAATAAAGATACCAATAACACTAGCTCACTTGGTACCACAGTAGAAATGACATAACATTATTTTGCAACGTAAGTAGAAAATTTTGTGGCCCCAATTTGTATCTGAGCAAATTTTGTTTATGTGCAATTTCTTTCCTGCATCTTCTTTCACAACATTCCACTTCAGAGATTTGTCCTCATCATTAAATTATAAGTGTGCTTCCTCAGTGAAGACAAGTACTTGGAGATCCTCCTAAGCAAAGACATGGGTTTTTTTGTTCTTTAGTTTAATTTAATAAACACACCGCTGGTCACCTATCAGAGGAACAAATTTTGCTTGTTTCCCCCATGGAAACAGTTACAGAGGTCTGCTTTCCACTTGGGAATACCCTTAAGGTCAAAAGCTTGAGAACAGGAGTATCAGCTTGTGCAGTTCTAGTAATGATGTACTCTCTTAGCCTATGCAAGCAACAGGGAGGAACATGTTCTGAGTAGGCACACATAACACCAGATTTGCTTTGTCAGTACAAATGACAGAACTAAAGACACAACTTATTTGCTTTGAGATTGATATCTCTTAGATCTGGAGGTTGTAAACTCTATTTTGGCTCATGCTGAAGCCCATTTGAACACACCTTCAGCGTTGGCCAAACTGATAGGGAGGTTGGCGCAGACGACCCACTGTGGTTCCTCCCAACCTTACCAATTCTGTGATTTCATGGAAGCCAAAACCAGCCTAGGCTTGTGCAATCACACATTTAATTTGTTGGATAAGCAGATCTTGAACTAGTTTACAAACATTTATTCCCTGTTTCCACATAAATCAATTCAAGAAAATAATACAGTAAACAACAGAGTTCAGTACTGTTACAAATACTATCCATGAATGGTGAAACCAATATATTTCCAAAGCAAAAATAAATTCAGTCAAGAAAGGATGCTTCCAGGGCACTTAGCCAGTGAGCATGACAAAAAAACCTCAGATAACGCCCCCGCTCTGAATAATAATTGTGCACAAAAGGTGACTCTGAGGGCATCGCTTTCAGCGATGCAGGTTTTCTGGCAGAATGCAGGCAAAAGAAGCAGGGAAAACTTTCAAGCTGAATATATTCTCTGCACCCGTTCCCACAGAAAACGGGTGTGAGAGCAAACCCCGACCCGGTCTAGCAATACTTCTACAATACGGTCTACCAACGGGACACTACCCTGTCTCTTCGTCTAAACCTCATCCAAACCCCACCAACTCCCCTAGAAAAACCAGTCACTTTTTAGGCCAATTTCAACACGTTACTAAATGACCGATTAAGCACTTGAAATAATGCTGGAAAGCTGAAAGAGAGCTTTCCACCAGCAGCACCGAGAGCTGTACCTGGTGAGCAGCGCGGCGCCCACAGGACGAAGCCCGGCCGCGCTGCCCGCAGCCCCTCACGGCGGCCTCGCCCCGCACCGGCCCGGCGCGAGTCCCAACGGGCCGGGCCCGCCCGCGGGACCTCCCCCTCAGCGCCGCGGGCCGCGCTGCCCCGGCCGGGCAACACCCGCAGTGCCACTCCAGGGGAGGATCCGTGACTAAGCGGGAGCCGCGGGACTCGCCGCGGAGGTCGGGGCTCCCCGACCTGAGCTCCTCTGCCTACTACCGCCGCCCCCGCGGGACCTCACCGCCCTAACCTCGCTAGTCCCTCCGGGAAGAGTCGGCGGGAAAGCCCATCCCAAGGGAGCCGCGCACCTCCGCCTCCCCGCAGAGTCGCTCGCTTCCACCCGGCTCAGGGCGACTCCCATTCCCGCAGCCGCCGCGGTGCCCGTCCCTCCCGGCCGCCTCTGCTCCCGCGAGCCCGCAGCAGCTCACCTGGAGCCGGGCGGCAGCCCGTCCCGTCCGTGCTGTCCCGTCCGTGCTGTGCTGTCCCGTCCCGTCCCGCCCGCCGCGGCGCGCCGCTCGCTCAGCACTGGGCACAGCAGGCGCGCCGGCAGCCCCGGCAGCTGGGACAGCCACTGGACGGGGGGCGGAGGCAGGCGAGGGAGGTGCTGCGAAAAGCCGAGGGAAGCCGGCGCGGCGGCGGCCGGCGGAGCCGCCCGGGAGCGGCCCCCGCCGCCCCTCGGCAAGGCGGGCTC